ATTCGAGATTTGCAGCCAGTCAGCTGGCACTTTGACCCGACATGGGCTTCGGCATCGGCATTGCCATTGCCATCGACATCAACATCGCCATCGCCATCGGCATCAGTCTAACCTAACTCAACCCCAGTGTAGCCCAAAGGCAGACAGTGTTAACTGAGAGCGGACGAACTTGGCAACTATGCCTGCTGCACTCGCATACGACCATAAAGAGCTGCTGGGTGTGTGTGTGTGTGGTTCGAATTCGACAGACTGTACCAAGGAAACGAATTAGAAATGTGTAAAACAGAAGTTACTCAATTGCCAGTTGGCAGCTTGGCCCCAGAAGCCAACAGCGAGTATGAAAAATGTTTTGTGGCCGTAAGAAGTGCAACGATGGGCAAGAACAAGAGCAAGAAGTGGCAGCAATCGGTGCGAGTCACTGCTGGTGCTGCAGCAGCCGGAAAGCAGGAATGATTTCCGGTCTAGAGGGCGATAATTCTTTCCAAAGCAGACAGTGCAGGCAATGGAGAACTTTACGCAGACACTGTGCCTTAGAGTGTGCCTCTGTGCGTGTGTATATGCGTATGTGTGTATGTGTGTGTGTATGTGTGTGTGTGTGTATTGCAGAATGAATGATTTAAGCACATGGGGCTACAAACACTCTGGGTATGCATGAGAAAGTTCACCGACTGCACCGAGCAATTCATTCGATGAATTATATTCAGATTTTTCATTTTTCCTCTTTTTTTTCTTGTCCCCCTTTTGCTGTGCTTCGCTTTGCTCAATATTTTTCAACATTTTTCAAACTTTTTATTTAACTCTTGATTTTTGCTCGCCACTCCCTCCATCACAGGTTACAGGCAAACGAATTTATGAAGGCCAGGGGTAGATGGGGAAAGGAGTTTCCAATTTGACGCATAAACTTTGTCAAAATGTTTGTAAAAGTTTTCTCTTCCCATGCTTTGTCATGGCAATTTTTTTTTTGCCGACGCTAAGAAAAATTATCACCATTGTTGCAGATTTGTAAAGTGACGGTGAAATTTGCAATCTTCGCCATTGCCATGACTGTTGTTGACGGTAATGGTAACAAGTTTTGAGCGTCGCTCGTCATGTGCTCCGCTCTTCGCGAGCTCGAAATACGAATACTGTTATTTGAATATATTTTCGCAGGAAACGGAAAAGGGCGGCAAATGTAAAGCTCTGTTTTGTAATTTGCATTTAACAAGGCAAGAGTCAGAGATGGCTATTAATGTTATACTCGAGAGCTAACCGTTGTTTCAGAAACGTTTTTTTGCATACTTTTTTGCTTAATAGAATAAATAATATTAAATAAATACTACTGACAGTTCTTAGAACTAAACTTAAGAAAACATTTCATATAATGAATGAAACGTATTGAATCTGTAAAAGTCAATGAGTTTCTATTTCTGACATTTCGCAGCTTCTAGTAATCAGTGAGCTTTACATTCAAATAACACTTTGGCGCCATTGTCCCTGGGCAGAGTTCCACCTCCACCTGGTCTCTGTCAACTTGTAACAGAAAAACTTTCCATGACAAATGATATTTAAATGAGCTGCATGGAAAAGTTCGGCATGTCTGGAGAGAGGAAAAAGGAACAAGGTGACTCGTAACTGGGAACTGGTAACTGACATGGCCAATGTCTTGTGGAAAAATGACAGGAGTCGCCAAATTAAATATGACAAAAGGCAGCGCAAATCCAGGCGCCGCAGCCAGAAAGTTCTCTAAACTCTTTTATTTTATTCTTTTGCTCAGCAAAACCAGAGCGCCCCGTGGGCAGATAATATTGTAGCACAAAAAGGCCCCTTTTTTTCCATGTAAAAGACCGATTTTGACATTTTGCAAATTTGTTGCCAAAACGGTTGGTTAAAGCGCCGCGGGCACGGCGACGTTTCCAACTTGAAGTCATAATTCTGTTTATTTTCTATGGGGATGAGCGACCACGCTTTTGCGTTCGACACGCTTGCAACATTTCTATAAATTGAAATGAAATTAAATTTTTCAAAACTTTATGTGTACGCAAGTTTTATGTACAACTATGTTTGACGTGTGTGTCTGCGTGTGTGTGCCTGTGTGTGTGTGTGTGTGTGCAAAAAATAGAAATGCAAACGAGTTTAATTTGCAATTTGTCGCCCTCATTCAGCGCTTAACTTTGCACTCGGCCGGCATTTTGTGGTTGCATATGTAAATGTGTCTTCGGTTGGCAGGACGTTCGAGTGGCTGAGAGGTGAGGGCTGAGAGATGTACTGGGCCGACTGGCGGTACCACTTTCTAGTACAGGCTGGCTTGCCGCAGGGCGTGAATATACATATACGATAAAATGTACAAAGTTTTGCGTTAGAGGCTCCGGCACCACTCGAGTTAGCTGAGCTGTTGTTGTTGCCGCTGTTACCAAGTGCGCAGTTTGTTAAACGCCTTTTAACGGCGCGGTTAGCCATGTGCAGACCTTGAAATGTCAGCCAGCTGCCAGCACTTGGTGGCAATGGTACTGGCAGTGGCACTCTACTCCTGAGCTCTGAGCAGCCACTCAGGCAACTTAACCAACCGGACTAACTTTTTTTGTGGCTGTGGCAACCGCTTTAAACCATCAACAAAAGTCATTCTGCAGTTTGTCCTCGTCCCGTTAAATATATGTTGATTTAGCAAACAAACGTTTTAATTGAATAATCCTATGAAATAGCAAAGCATTGCATTTTTTCCCCTTTGACTTTGTGGTGCAGTGGCACAAGAGACGGACTATTAAACAGCCTTGATTGAGATTCTCCTCATATGTATCTACAATCACTGTGCACCGAATAACCATTTTCTGTAGATTTTTGACAAAATTATTAATTTCCCTTTGAACTATAATAATTAGTTTTGTTCATATCTTCTTTATTAATGTATTATAACAAATAGCGACCATATGAAAACAATTCAGTCGTTTATTGAAAAACACGTTCAAATAAAATCTTGAGGGAAGCAATCCAGAATACAAATTACAATAATTATACTGAGTTATACTGACTGTAACAATTCCTTCACTTAAGAGAAGCTTTTCTTTTTGTCCAATTTTAAAAGATTTAAAGTTATTAAAAATTAATTTTAAAATAATTTGGAAAGACTTTGAAATAGAAAAATAGAAAATATAGCTACCTATACACAGCAAAAACAATAATAAAAGAAATTTGTTTGAAAGCCAACATTTTTGAAGTATTCACATGTGAGCTCTTTAAGTATTTGTTTTAATTTCTTTTACTCGAAGAGCATTCCTTCTCAACAAAAAAATTCCACGATGTTTTCAGTTCCATAAAAAAAAACGAACAAATTTATTCTGATTATTTAACTTTTTTTTACATAAAAAGATATAATTAACTAATAATTTAGTTGTCCAGTAACTTGATTTATATGCGTTTCTTCTTTTTTTTAAATTCCTTTACAATAAACCGATATATAGTAGTCCTATTCAACTAACAACTTCCACGACGTTTTCAATTCCATAAAAAAACGAACACATTTATTGTGATTATTTCTTCTTTATCTTTAAAGAAGATATTCTTTATCTAAAAAAGTTTGATAAACAAATATTTGAGTTGTCCAGTAACTTGATTCCTTCTCTTCTTTCTTCATAAATAAATGTATATAAAACAATTATTACTTTCAAATGAAAAAAGTAGATCAGCAAGGTAAATTGGAATCTTAATTGAAATATTCTGTATCCTTTAGATTTAGGCCTTCAGTTTAGATTGCGTGCTTAATCCACGAGCAGAGTACAAGTATATATAAAATAATACAAATATACTAAAAAAGCGGCTGCATTTGTGAAACTCCCCATGAATAGTTTAATGAATTGTTTTTGCTTTGTTATAATATTAAATATATTTTATGAAATTTCTCTGACACTTTCACATTAACATTAATCGCCTTTAGATTTCATAAAACTATAATTGACAAATTTGCTGACTGAGTGCAACTTTCCTAACCATTCATAAGCCATGCATGAATGAATTGTTTAATAAATTTCAATTGATTTTTCGCACAAAACAGGAACAACAACAATATACAAATAGACTCACTAATTAAATCGTTCAAATTGAATTTTATTTCGAAATTGCCACAGCCTTTGCAAATATTTTAACACACACACGGCCATAGTATGTATAATACATAATTTAGTTGGTGCGGGCAAATGGGAATTTTTTTGTCCAATCCAGTGGGAAAATTGGCACTTTGTGCTCAGTGGTAATAAAGTGAACAATTAGGCCGAAAATTAAATTGCATTTTTGTTCGTTGACTTAATTTAGGGGGCCGGGCCAACAATTTCATTAAACTTTCGCCACAAAATGCTTAGAGAACGGGTCAACTGGCCACTCTTCAGGGACTCCAGTGCTTGCATTTGCATTGATTGATGCTGTCTTGTGATTTATTGAACCTGAGGTTTGTCAACTAAACAATATACAAGTATGTAGGCAGCCACTGTCCCACGTGGGTGTTGTCTCATCTCATCTCATCTCGTCTCGTCTCGTCCATTGTTCAATTACTTTGATTGTCAGTTCGTGACAATGTGTGTGTGGTATTGGCATTCGATGAGACCTAGACTATACTATAGTCTATACATATGTGTACACACATTTATTTTCCTTGGTTTCATTTTGTATATTTCTTTGCATGTGGAACCGCATTGATTGATGATGGCATGTAACTCGTGTCATCAAAATACTCGTAACTGTGACTCCCGTCTGGGCCAAATGGGGGGTACGAGTGCGGTTCTGCTCTTACTGCACATTTTGTTAAGTGCGTGTGATTGTGTCTCCCAATTGTGCAGTTGCTCTCACAAACTCAATTTAAATTGTACGTTATTTCTTTCGTTTGTCTCTGCTTTGTTGCAGTCAAGCGCAGATTTCATTTCTACATACTACATTCAGACAAATGGACCGACCGTCATCAACTATATTCGCCAGAGGCATTACAATGAATACGGAAAGCATGGGCTGATTGGTGTGTTTATTAAAAATAGAAGGGATATCGGTGGTATTATTTATTTGTAATTGATATCAGAAAAAGGATTGCAATTTTTATACAAGTATGGTGATTGTCAGCAGAGGTTTCAAAATCTCCACTTGGGCATTATTATTAACTAATTATCATTGGTCTTGGGGTAGGTCCTGTCATCGCTCGACTCCTCTTCTTCGCCTGCATCCGAATCGAAGGCATTGTCCGGTATATCGTACAGACGAATCATCGGCTTATTGGGATCCTTCATTATCAAATATTTGCCATCTGCCTGCTTCATAATGATGTCAATGAGACAGCGCAGGACACCCCAGGCATTGTCCAGGCTAAGATTGATCTGCGTGGCGAACTCCTGCGGCTTGAACTGCTGGGTGCCGAGTATGACGTGGCGAAGATGATCGCGTGGATTGATGCGCGATACATAGCCCAGCTTCAGCTGATCCGATCCGGCCAGCACCGCCTCCACAGTCCACTTGGCGAGCTTGCAGGCATTGTTGCGCAACTCGGAGGCCAGCACAGCTCCACGCTGAGTGTCCAGCTTCTGACGCCACTCGACGCTGTTGGCGGCCTTTGAGTCCCACTCGTTGAGAGCCTTGATCGAGAGGAACTGCAACTCGCCATTGGGACACTGAATGACGCCATTGTGCTTGCAGCGTGCAATCAAAACGATATCGTTGCCCAAATTCCATTGTTTGTAGCGATAACCAACACTGGCCAGCTCCACTCCAGGCTCCTCGAACGGATTCGGTTCCGCGAACTTGTACTTCTGCTCGGCATCGCCGATTCTCAGCACTTGCTGGCTAAAGTTGTGATTGATGAAGGTGGCCTCCATTGAGAGACTCTGTGGCGAGTTGATGGAGCCCTCCTCGTCCAGAGGCGGCTCCAAAGATGTCTCGTTCACAGTCAGCAAATCAAACTGGGCACTGTCGCGCTTATCCAGAAAGATCTTCGTACCCAGCTTCTCCACCACTATGTCCCAGGAGTAGTTGGAGCGAGTGCAGCACATGATCGTGGCCAGAATATCATCGGTGGCAAACACATTGCCGATACTCTTCGAAAGCCGACGTATGATCGGATCATCAATTGTGCTGGGCACATTGATCATGCGATCGATCTTCTGCAGCGTTCGCTCGTTCTTCACATTGATGCGATCGAACATCTTGTCGTAGTACTCGAGAGAACCACAGCTGGCCACATCCTCGCCCTCCTTGATGTTCGGCAGCGTTAGCTTGAGCAGACGTGGGAAATCTATCTCCTCAATGGATACCCAGTCCGCCCGCACTAGCACCGATGATTCACGCAGACGCACAGGCGCATTGCGGGGGAATCGACGACCCACCATGCGCCGCACATCGCGTCCCTTGCCGTATTTCGTTCCAGTGTTGGGTCCACCGGGAGCATTATTGTTGGCTCCCGCATTCCCACGCACGTTCCGTCCACGTCCACGCGTATTATTCCTCAAGTTGGGACGATAGCGTCCCCGCTGGTAGGGCTTCTGGGTGCGCGCACTGTTCACCAGATGGAAGGTGGAGTCGTCGTCTTCATGGAAATACGCGTACTGGCTGTTGTTGCCAAAGGTTGAGGCATATTTGTTCAGGAACTTCTTATCCTGGGCCCCCACAGTCCAATCGCAGATCTTTCCGAGGCGATCGCTCTTGCAGAAAGGCTGATATGGCACATCCATTTCCGGCACTTCGCAAGGACCCCAGCCATGTTCATTATATTGAACATATGGCTTAATAAACGGCGCGTATTGAGACATCTTTTGTAAAGATTTCAGAAGTAATAATATTTTTTGACTAATTTAATTTTCCGGAGACTTAAATAGTGAACAAGATTTTGAAAACAATGTCAAAGAGTCTGAAAAAAACTATTTGAAATTTCCAGCCTCAAATACTTTAATAATCTAAGTACTTTGTTCATACATGAACACTGCCATCCGTCTTTTCTTTTTTTTTGTTTCGCCTAATCCGTTCATATGTAGGAACAGGTCTACTTTTTGATTCCAAATTTAACTTCCGATTTCCCATTTCTTCAATCGCAAACAAGGTCCAAAGACTAGCCCACTGATATGGCCTGTACAAGATTACTGCACTGTTTTATGTCCCCAGTTTTCATTTCTACCTGGCTGTCTATCTCTGCTAAATTTTTTATTCAAAATTTGTATTTTTTAAATTGTTGTTTGCAGGCCTATTGACGCCTCTGACTGCAACTGTCTATAGCTGGCCGATTAACAAATACATAACATATAAAATATAGAACCAAGTAAAAACAAAGTTAATAAAATGAATGAATGGAATTGGAGAATTTTTAAACCCATACTGTGTGCCTTGGAAGCCATCTCTGATGAGGAGTTAAAGTTCAATTCTGTGGGCAGCTTCCTGTAAGCAATCTCTCCAACAACTAATCCCATATCACTTTCGGTCCAATTAATGTACGTTGGCGGAGCTATGAGGAATACACTGATTTTAATGACATGCTCGTATCACACATCAAACACGACACCAGCTGCTTCTAGAGAACTATTTCCCAACCATTTTCCGCTGAATTTGGAGGAAATGAAGATGTGTGCTGAACAAAAGATGCTCACCTTTACGCACGTATCGTTAGGAAGGAGGGGGAAACAAGTACGTGTACATAAACGGAATCTTCTAAAAATCTGCCAACAGTCTCATAAAAAGTAAGGGCCAAATTATAGAAAAACTAACGCAATGTAGCAGAAGGTAATCACATAAAAAGCTTGTTAGATAACAACGTGTGTCCTGCCGAAAGCGGAAGTGACATGAGTAGCGTCGGGCGTGTGAATGCGAGTGTGAATCTGCTCTCGGCCTAAGGATGGGGTTGGGGTTGCAAGGCTGTTCTGTTACTATACTGTGGCTTTCTGGGTGGGCTGCTAAGCTTTTGTCATGCCGACAGTATCATGTTGATGATTCTGGGCTGCCGTCTCTATGTCTGTTTGTATCTGTGTCTGTGCCTGTGTCAGTGGCAGCTGCAGCTGCTTACACCCCAGGCCGCCACGAGCCTTCGTAGTTAACACACTTAAGCCGCATACGAGCAGCCACTTGTGTGTATGTGCGTGTGTGTGTGCGTGTGGTTGTGTGGATTATAATTGCCATACGGCTGTCAGTGACTGCTTGCACCTCAAAATGCGCGCAAACACGCTCATGCACTCATTCGAGGGCTAATCGAGCACAAATATAACTATAATCCAAACATTTTCATTTCAAAACGAAACAAATTAAATAATAATAATCTATCTACACATTCTATAAGTTGAGTTCGCAGAGAAAAGACTCTGTTAACCGAGAAAGCCCGTAAATACTATTATATTTCATATTTTTTCTTTTTTTAATTTCATTTCCAACACTTTTTTTACAAACAAAAAAATTAAATTAAGTGCGACCTTGATTGCTATACATATTTCGAAATTAAATTCATCAACAATTAAGTCAAAAGATTTGTATTTATGCTTCATGCCTCATTGAAGAGTTAAAACCCGAACGCACGACTGCACTTACAAGAGTTATGATATAAATAAAAGATTGCAAGCAAGTTTCTAAGATTCTATGTATATTCTTCACTGGCATTATTTATTTTATTTTATGCTATTCATATTACAAAATGTAGCCCGTTGAGCTGCCAAAGTTTTTTGGCAGCTGTTTTGAAATCTATAGCAAAGCCTTGCTCCACCCAAATCGACAAATGTTGGCTTTCGACAAAAATACTTGATAATACTTATATGTTAGTTTATTGTCAATTGTCACCTGCAAACTACATCGAATTAAGCGTATGTTAGAAACTAGAAGAGCAACAACTGTACATTACAGAATCATTTGCAGATCTACCGCTACAATGAGAGCAAGAGAACGCCGCCTAACTATATTGTGTTAATGAGAGCCGCTCACGTAGCAGAATTACATATGTATATACGTTCTGTTTCGTTACAGCGATGTATTGGCAGTCAATAACAGACTGCAATGAGAGCAAGAGAGTGCTGCCAAATTACAGTATGTTAATTAGAGCCAAAGATCGCTTATGTTGCGTTATGTTATGTTATGTTACAGCGATGTGTCGACATAAGTATGTAGCTAACAATTACAAACTGCAATGAGAGTAAGAAAGTGCTGCCAAATTACAGTATGTTGATGAGAGCCAGAGATCGCTTATGTTGCGTTATGTTATGTTACAGCGGTGGGTTGACATAAGTATGTAGCTAACAATAATAAACTGCAATGAGAGTAAGAAAGTGCTGCCAAATTACAGTATGTTGATGAGAGCCAGAGATCGCTTATGTTGCAATATGTTATGTTATGTTACATCGATGTGTTGATACGAGTAGCAAACAATAATTTATTATGCATTCACGTTATGTTACAAGCAATACACTTTAAAGGCAAATAAAAAATAAAAGTTTAGGACAAGATAACGTTTACAATGGGTACAGGAATCTTTTCTGGAGGTCAGACTATCAGAGTTGAAGATAAAGATGCAGATTATTTAATAAATTATAAAAATAAAATAAATAACTAAAATATAAAACCAGCAAACTATAAAGTTGTTTGCAAAACTTTATAGGTCTGTTTGCAACGGCCATAATGCCAATATGGGCAATAATAAACCTTTCAGATGTCTATACAATTCATTCATAAGTATTTTCCCGTCAACACTTAAATGTTTGCCGAGGGATTGCTTTGAGGTCGATTATTTATCGGACGGCCCTTGTAAATATGTAGTAAATTCGCATTCAGTTCGCTCGTCTTGCCTTGCCACAGCTGTGGCTCGTGTTGCATATCATTTTTAATGCAAAACCGCATGCCACATTATGCTGCTGCACTGCCACATCGCCACTGTGGTCACACTAGCTCGCCACCAACCCCTCTCCGCCCCACTAACACCCAGCCCTCACACTTTGGCATGTGTAGAAAAACGGCTGTAGTTGTAGTGCGGTTTAGTGAAGGAACAAGAAGAATAATGCTGGCACATAAGTAAGTAGTTACCGAGTGCACAGCTACAACAACAATAACAACAACAACAACAACGATAACAGGAACGGGAGCAACAACAAAGGCGGCAGCTAAGTGAAAAACCGCTTGCATACTTTGCGGCGTTTGCACGCGATAAGCGACGCAAGCTGTTCGTTGCTCAGTGCTCGATGTTTTTGTTGTTCGTCGCCGCTGCTGCTGCTCCTACTGTTGTTGTTGTTGTTGCATGTGTTGTTGTTGTTGGTTCTTCTCCCATCCAATGCTATTGCAACGCCTGCTGCGGCTGCTTTTGTTGCATAAAAATTAAAATTTATGCCATGCAACTTGTGAAAGCACTGCACATGCCATTGTTTTTCAGCCCTGCTGTTGCTGTTGCTGCAACTTCTGTTGTTGTTGTTGCTGTGGCTGGTACTGGGAAACTGCGGCTGCAGTGCTGCGGATGGTGACGCGCGTGCCACTGAGTGGGGCATCACGTCAAGCGCAACATAAGCTGACAAGCCGGTTTTTTATTATCCCGAACAACATTCAATTCAACAATTTTCGCTGCTGCATGTAGTAGTAGTGTAATATGAGTATGTGGGGGTGTAGGTATGTACATATGTATGTATGTACATACGAGTATGTGTGTGCTGCATGGATTACTTAAAAGTGAAAATGTGATGGGAGAAATAAAAGATTTGGGGATGTGTCAGTCTTCCCCTTCCATGTCGTAATTGCGCTCAAATTACGCACACATTATGAAAGGGGAGCACTTTAATTAAGTTACACTTATTATGCGGGTAATGAGCATTAATACATAAGAAAATATTTTTAAATATCACTTTCAGTAGAGTTATAAAATATCAATAATGCTCACAAGACTTGTATAGTGATTGTTTAAATTTTAAATAAACACAAAAGAAATTCTTGAAATAAAAGCTTAGATAGTTGAACACTTCTATTGCTTCACTTAGAAAAGATATAATGTTTCCTGGCTCAAGAGAGAACATGAAGACCTTTAAGGCATTTTTTTTTAATTATAAAAATATAAAACAGAGACATTTTGAATATAGTAAACATTTTGAAGAGCAATAATCTTCACGTCTCAGGGTCACAATGGATAACCCGCAAAAACAAATTTTGAACAGGAAACTCGACCAACTTCACCCTTTTTTCTTCAACTTATCGATCGACAAAATCGAGAGGACACAATAAAAAGATTGTAAAATTGTCCACTTCACATTACATAAAGTTTGTGACTGAATTCTATACATTTTATAGATTTTTCTTTATCTTCACGATCCATTGGTATTTCATGAAGTTATCCACTTTTGTACGGAAATTTAAAATAGTTTTTTTTTCAGTACAACCACAATTCTATTTCCGTCAAAACTCAAAACAAATCAGTAAATAAAATGTATACCACATAGCTTAGTCCATAGTTTTGGTAGAGAATATTTTGGAATTAAGTCGAACCCTCTCTCGATGATATGAGACAACTACCCAAGGGCTCCGTCGGGTATTTTGTATCGAGGCATCTGCGACAAGGTGCTGCGATAGCATTCAAGCCGAACTGGAGCTTATACTCCACCCAGTCGCTGCTCGCTCCACCGAGTCCCATAACACTGAGCCACAGGGTGCACTCCACTCGCAACTTTGCCAGCAAAGAGAAAAAGAAGAAGATGGAGGTAGAAGAGGGTGTTTTGATCGGCTTTGGTAATCCACTGCTCGACATCACAGTCAGCATAGATGACAGCTCTTTGTTGGAGAAGTACGGCCTTCAAGCGAATGCGGCCATTATTGCCGAGGAGAAGCACCTGCCCCTTTTCGAGGAGCTGTCGGGTATGGACACAGTCCAATACTCAGCTGGTGGTGCCTGTCAGAACTCGATGCGCATTGTCCAGTGGATTTTGGGATCGCCTTTTCGCGCTCTATACTTTGGAGCCGTTGGCAAAGACAAGTTCGGTGAGACAATTGCCAAGCGGGCCAAGGCAGATGGGGTGGAGACCCACTACCAAGTCAACGATGGGAAGCCCACTGGCACCTGTGCTGTGATCATCAGCGGCATGAATCGCTCGCTAGTCGCAAATCTTGGGGCAGCGGCCCACTTCACCGAGGACTGGATGGACACAGAGGAGAGTCTGTGCGTGGTGGAGCGGGCTCAGTATTATTATATTACCGGCTTCTTTCTCGCCGTCAGTCCGCCGACTGTGCTGCGCATTGCGAAGTTCGCCAATGGCTCCAATCGCACGACAGTGATCAACCTGAGCGCAGTTTTCGTGATGCAGACGCACAAGAAGGAGCTGGACGAACTGATACCCTATGTGGATATTATTATTGGCAACAAAGAAGAGGCACTGGCCTTTTCAAGTGCCAGTAACTGGGATACATCGGACATTTTCGAGATTGGAAGGCGTTTGCAATGTCTACCCAAGGAGAAAGGACTGCCCCGCGTTGTTATGATTACGGATGCGGTTTGTCCAGTTCTAGTCTTTCAGGAGAACGACAAGCTTCTCGAGTATCCGGTGCCCAAGGTCGATAAAAGCAAGATTGTGGACACAAACGGTTGTGGCGATGCCTTTGTCGGCGGCTTCCTCTCCCAGCTGGTGCAACACATGCCACTCGACTACTGCATTCGAGCGGGCATTTTCGCTTCGCAACAGGTTCTGGGAATTGTTGGCATACAAATCAATAAACTGCCGAAATTCAACGAGAGCTGCATGTAGGAGTTCAAGGCTTTGCTAAATTTAAAAATACAAATTTTAGGGTTTTAAAATAATATTAAACAGGCATACACAATATAGTTGAGCCGTTTTAGAGATTTCATGGAATCTAGGCCCCTCTGTTTTGAAAATTCCTCCTTAAGAAATATGTAATAATATAATAACAAGAAAATAAAAAAGAAAAAAGGCCATGAAATTGCATTTATAGAGAGCTTTAGAAAGCCGAGTGTAACATTTAAAAATACAATATTTTTCTCAATATAAATATTTTATAATGGGCATTGTAGCTATTTTATTTAACTCTTGCAAATCCAAATCAAAATATCAAAATGAACTAAGCGCAGAGGGAAGAGGAAAAAAGTAAAAATAGCAAATCCTTGCAAATTTATGCCTCTCTAGGAAACCATTTCTGCCAAATACGCGAGTTCCATAAATATAAAGCTGACCTTCACGAAGTCCCATCTTTTTGTTTACAAAATAATAAAAATTTCACTCAGCCATCTATTGATTACATTTAAATCAATCCGAGTGACCATTTCAACTACTGCCGTAACGTTTCATGAGAACAACAATACAATTCTCTTCAAAATTCCTTAATGTGTTTTTGTAGTTATCATACAGAATGCCCTCTAGAAAGGTAGCTTATTCGAAGAAGAAAAGAAGAAAGATTCAATCAAAAGGTCGCAGGAATGTCACACGTGCCAAAAAAATGGCACTATCCCCCTATAAGTTTGTGCCCATCCAATATCGTCGTGGAAATCTAGACATTCTGTCGAATTGGCGTGGGTTAATGAAACGAAAAAGCTTAAGGAAAATATTAGCATTGGACTTGCCGAGTCACCGGTCGTCCATGCTGAGCGATTGGCATCGGGAATTGGGAATTACGGGCTTTGATGACAATATCAAGTGGCGGACGCTGAAACATAATGGACCTGTGTTTCCACCACCCTATAGAAGACTTCCCCCGAATGTACATTTCTATTATGACTCACAGCCTTTCAGATTGTCCGAGGCAGCGGAGGAGGCAGCAACCTTCTATGCCAAGATATTGAACACGGATTTTGTGAATAAGCCGACCTTTCGAATTAATTTCTTTCATGACTTCTGCAATGTTCTGGATCCCTGCGAGCGTCGCACGATTCAGGAGTTCTCGCTCTGCGATTTCAGTCACATTCACAAATATTTTGTGGAAATGGCTGAGAAGAAGCGACGAGCCAGCAACACAAAGAAGGCGCAGCTCAAAGCCATTAGACACGCTGAGGCCGAAAAGTTCGGCTTTTGTGAGATCGATGGATTCCGGGAGCGCATCTCTAATTATCGGATCGAGCCACCTGGGATCTTTCGAGGTCGCGGCATGCACCCAAAAATGGGTATGTTGAAAGCACGCATCGATCCAGAGGAAGTGGCCATCAACTGTAGTCCGGGCGCTGAGCCAGCTCCACCATGTGGCCACCAGTGGAAGGCGATTAAGCACGACAATAGTGTCAGTTGGCTGGCTTGCTGGAAGGATCGTCTACACGGGCAAACCAAGTATATTATTCTCAATTCGGGTGCACGCCAACAGGGCATTAGAGACTTAAACAAATTCGAAACAGCACGTCGTCTAAGTCACCATATTGCAAAGATTCGAGAAGCGTATCGCACAGACTGGAACTCTTCGGACCTAATGGAGCGACAGAGAGGCGTAGCCATGTACTTTATCGATGTGCTGGCGCTGCGAGCGGGAAACGAGAAAGACGGTTATACAGCAGACACAGTGGGATGTTGCACACTTCGTGTGGAGCATATGCATCTTTACGATATCCTTGAATCGGTGCCGCACGTCGTCATCTTTAACTTTTTGGGCAAGGACTCCATACGGTTCTGCAAAAAAATCGCCCTTGATATGAATGTCTATCACAATCTGAAAAACTTCATATTGCATAAGGCACTGAATGATTTGGTTTTTCATTTGCTCTCCACACAGAAACTGAATGAACACCTCAAGACACTGATGGATGGTTTGACAGCCAAGGTCTTTCGCACCTACAACGCGTCCGTCCTCCTCCAATGTCGCCTAGACAGACTCACATTGCCAGAGTTGAGTGTGGATCAAAAAATTGATGCATACAACAAGGCCAATGCCGAGGCAGCTCTATTATGCAACCACCAGCGTCTGGTGCCGAAGTCCTGCATCAATAAGCTGGGCAAATGGGAAAAGCAGATTATCAGAAAACGTACCGAAATCGCTCGTCAGGAGTGTCTTTGCTACACCTCAGAAGCGGACGGGCGTCCAACACCCACAAAAGCGGATATTCGAAGTTTGACCCGTCTCAGGCGACAGCTCTGTGAATTGGAGGAGAAACGCGACGACACGATGAAGAACAGCAACATTGCATTAATTACCTCGAAGGTGAACTATTTGGACCCTCGCATCACGGTGGCTTGGTGCAAGAAACACTCTATTCCCATTGATAAAATATTTAATGCCTCATTACAGAACAAGTTTAAATGGGCAATACGCGCTACCGATCAGAACTTTCGTTTCTAAGATCAAAGGTAAAATTTCTCATATGTATACTATGTATTTTTGAAAATATAAAAATTATAAAATATATAAAAAATTACCCAGAATGGTCAAACTTACTTATTTAAAAATAATAATAGTTTATATGAAAATATAAACATACCTATTTCTTTGCAGAAAATAAACTTAATTTCTTATCCACCAATTATAGTTTCATTTATCAGTCGGATATTACGTTACTGAAGTTATTTATTAGACGTCCAGTTTTCGTTGGAAATAAAGCGCACGAAACAACTTTTGCAATTATGTGTATGACTAAAAAGGGATTAACTAAAAAATAATTTAAAATTATTGGGAGCTTTTAAAGACTACAACCAGTTGCTATAATAATAAGATTTGTCCACAATGTTTTGCATTGCTCTGACCTGAGTACATATTGTGTTCAATACATTTATAGATTGATTTTAACGATTTTTCATCAATGAATAAATTAATAGAATTTTTCATAATATTTATTGTTTATAATTAACACATTCAACTAGTTTGATTACATATTATGGATCGAATTTTATGAAGCTTTTGCATGCAACTTATCCCCTCTTGTAAATGCCAGCAGAGTTATGCAGGAACACAAAAAAACTTAACAAAACAAATAGAGAAAAACCACTCTTGCCCGTCCCCTCTTGAAATTCAAATAATTTTCTTTCAAATCTTCGCTTTCAAGTCGCAGAGCTCGCTGAGGTGCTCACCAATACTGCTTCAAGTTTTACATTTTTAGAAAATGTAGCCAATTGAATAAATATTTTTAAAGCGTGACAATATTGTGTGTGGTAGACACCTTAAAAATGATGACCAGTTTGTATTAATCTGATAATCTGTGAAGTTAGCAAGTACATATAGCTTTTTATACCCTGTACCCGTAGGGTAAAAAGGGTATATTAGGTTTGTGCAAAGTATGTAACATACAGAAGGAAGCATCTCCGACCCCATAAAGTATATATATTCTGAATCAGCATGACGAGAGAAATCGATCTAGACATGTCCGTCCGTCTGTCCGTCCGTCTGTCCGTCTGGATAAACGCGAGGATCTCAGAAACTATAAAAGCTAGAATAACCAAAGTTGGCATCCAGATTCTCCTAGGTCCGAGTAAGGACGAGTTTATTTTTTTTTTTTTAATTTTCCCCCCCCTTCCCCCGCTACAGAATTTCGTCAATAGCGTCCACATTTCAAATGCTACCTCAACCAAACTTTGCACACATAATTTATATATAATTGTCTACAGTTGTTTAATTAATTTTATCCAATTCGGTCAATTCTAAGAAAAGTTATTAGCAAAACAAATTCTCGCCAGTACAACCCCACCAAACTGCAGCAACAAGTTCGCTCTTCTTCTTCCTCTTTTTGCTGCTGCTATGGGCGCATATAACTCAGTGACGGAAGTTTACCTGGGTACAGGGTATTACACTGTCGGGCTTGCTCGACTGTAGCGTTCTCTCTTGTTTCTTATAATTCCCTTCATGTATGCCTTAACATTTAATTTATTTAAACGTTTATATATGTTTATTGCATTTTTAATTGGAATTAATTATAAAATTCCAATCCAAGAGTTGTTCATTTTTTTAGAATGACCAACACATGTTTTTGCATTTACAAATTTTTTATCTGATGATCTGTGAAGTTAGCAAGTACATATAGCTTTTTTCTTATAATTCCCTTCATGTATGCCTTAACATTTAATTTATTTAAACGTTTATATATGTTTATTGCATTTTTAATTGGAATTAATTATAAAATTCCAATCCAAGAGTTGTTCATTTTTTTAGAATGACCAACACATGTTTTTGCATTTACAAATTTTTTATCTGATGATCTGTGAAGTTAGCAAGTACATATAGCTTTTTTCTTATAATTCCCTTCATGTATGCCTTAACATTTAATTTATTTAAACGTTTATATATGTTTATTGCATTTTTAATTGGAATTAATTATAAAATTCCAATCCAAGAGTTGTTCATTTTTTTAGAATGACCAACACATGTTTTTGCATTTACAAATTTTTTATCTGATGATCTGTGAAGTTAGCAAGTACATATAGCTTTTTTCTTATAATTCCCTTCATGTATTAACATTTAATTTATTTAAACGTTTATATATGTTTCTTGAATTTTTAATTCGAATTGATTATTAAATCCCAATCCAATAGTTGTTATTTTTCCTATCACAAACAACAGGTCGTTTTGATAATTAAAAGGATTCAGTTTAAATTAGTTACAAGATTCGGATGCATGTGACCTAAGAATTTACTTTAGGTTGCCGTATAAATTTTAAATATTCTTGGCGGGCACGCTTAAAGGCTCTACAGTTACCAGCATGTATTAAAATTTGTAGCTGTGTGTGTGTGTGTTTAACAGAGGGCTGACAAACATGAAACCAAGTTGCATACCAGGCGATGTAACCCATCAGGCCAGTAAACCAAGCAACCGAGCAACCGAACAAGCGAGCAACCCATTGAGGCGAGGGAAACAAACAGAAGAGAAGTAAAAATACGCGTTGCATACTTTGCAGCGCCAATGTAAATTTTGTTCGCTCTCGCCTGGCATTGTGTTCTTATTCTTGGCACTGGTTTGAAACATCCTGCAGGGCGCATGGCTGTTGACTTTAGCCTGACAAAATATTGCTGCCATTTCAGAGCCGTAACGGCGGGGCAGAAGCACGTGCCTCGCCTGCGACTGTGACTACGACTGTCGCCCACTGATTAAAACGATGCGTCGTGGCAGCGATTTTTTCTCGTTAAATCCTTAAATGTCTCTGAGTTTATCGTGCGCTTTGTTTTTTAACTTCTGCTTGTTGACTATCCAGCAGCGTCCTTCTTTCTGCCCAGTGGTGGACTTACGATTTGATTTCTAGGGGGGGAGGGGGCGCTAGTCAGCGTCTTTTGGCGATAATTTATGCATATATCCTTTGTGATTTATGACATTATCCGCACTTTGCCGGCTTGCCATCGCTGTGTGCTGTGTGCTCAACGGCTCAACATTTCTTATGCATAGTTTCTCCATAGCTCAGCATCGACCCGGACGGCGCACGGCCATCAGAGTGACACACAATTAGCTGGAAAAATGAGCAGCGACAGAAAGAAAAGCCTAAGCCGAAATTAAACAATGCAAGTATCTCCAGCTCTTTCTCTCTTTGTGCTGCATAATCCTAGCTTCTTACATTTCCCTACTCCCCTGCTGCTGCTGTAACTTTAGTACGTTGCTTTAAGTCGCCTGATTTCACTTTGTTGCACTTCCAACGTGCCCGCCCTTCGCATCGAAATACAGTCGCAATATCTGCAAAGTTGTTAAACAAAAAGCTGCGCTTCTTTCTATCGGCAGCCGTTGCACATCCTTGCCCTTTTCTTTGTGCTGCAAAAGTTGCTTGGAAACCGAATTTAAATAAAAACGTATAAAACTTTATTTGAGCAAAGTGGCAATAAAGTTTTCGGATTTGTCATATGCACATCTAGGCTAATATTGCTCACGTGGTGCAATATGTACTTTATGACTCCAGATCTAAGGACGGCTCGTTGTTTAAGGCATTTCAAAAAATTGAGAAGTAATCTTTATGTAGGAGGCGATGACTTCATTAAATATTTTGCTCACATACCTTAATGGTAAAACAAATATCTATTTCTGAAAATGTTTTCCGAAATCATTTTAGATTAATTATTTTTTCATATCAGCGTACATTAAGGCGTGCAAAAATCTTACTAACAAACGAACTTAATAATATTTACAACATCTTTAAATGGCTTACTTTTAAGTGATTACGAATCCTAGCAATTCTTTATTTTTACCATCATTAAATAATACCAAGACATTCTAATATTTAAATGAACTGCAGATAATTCAATAATTTTTTATTATTTGGTTGCAAATTTAGTAAGTTATACAAAACATATATAAATATGAAAGCAAAGTTAATTATTGAGTGCAAATATTTATATACTTTTGATCACATATTTAATTCCATTAAGAAATTCAAGAGCTAACAAGGTTAGTTAAATAGACCAAAAAATTCAAATTATACGTGAAGATAAGGGAAAAAATACATATACGAATGTTAAGCTAGCTTCCAGGTGAAACAATACATAATTGTTAAAAAAACTTTTTATATATTTCATATACTTTGTTTATAAATTAGCTTTAATTTTAAATTAAACGATAACCACAGTCACAGATGCCATGCCTACTACACAATATATAGCAATGCTTAATGCAATATCCACACACATCTTGCTTGTAATCAAATTGTGTTAAATCTGGCAATACAATGCAATATGCGACTCCATTCCGTTTGAATGGTTTTCAAGGATATCGTCTGTGTCATCAGTGTCAACGTACTAACAAATTTTCAGCAATGAAAAAACAATGGAAGCACGACTCGCCATTATGCCGGAAATCTCCGATAATTTCACATAATCCACACACACACACACACAGTCATACACTCTTCCAATCACAAAGAAAACAACAAAGTACATACTCTTCATAGTCGCCGCCGGCAGCGGCGACATCATCGCCGGCGACTGTGACATCTATGATAGACAGCTCTTCAGACTTGCAAAGGCACATGTAGTAGAGAGGACAAGGACGAGGACGAGGTCGCGGACGCGGGCGCGAGAGCGAACGAGACTTCGATATGGGCAGACAAGCGTCTGTGACATTGTTAGTGGCTTGTGCGCTGCTGACAACAAACAATCGCATTCACCAACCACTGAATGAGTGAATGAACAACTGAATGAGCGACTGGCTGTAGCTGTGGCTGTGGCTGTGACTCTGGATCTGGCTGGCAAGTGGTCCGGGTTAATAGCAGGCGATGCTGAGCTGATGTTGCCTTTGCAGTTGCAAACCTTGATAGGGAAGCTAATGTGGGACAAGGGGAAAAACTCGTGCAAGAGGCATTGGCTCGAAGGAACGGAACGGTTACAAAGTAGAAAACTTTCGCCATTTCTTACACAAACACACAGACAACTTTCAACATT